TTTATATAAGAATAACATTATTTATTTATTTTTTGAGTTGAAGTCTCACTCTGTCACCCAGGCTGGAGTACAGTGGCATGCTCATGGCCACCAAAACCTCGACCTGTTGGGCTCCCGCGATCCTTCTGCCTCACCCTTCCAAGTAGCCGGAACCACAAGTGTGCTAACATCTGGTTAATTAACATCTGGGTTTTTTTAATTTATTGTAGAGATGAGGTCTCACCAAGGTGCCTGGACTGGTCTCAAACCCGCGAGCTCAGACTATCCACTTGCATTGGCCTCCCAAAGTGCTGGGATTATAGGCTGAGCCACCGAGCCTGGCCTGACATTATTTTTTTATTTAAATACTTCAGATAATTTATTTGTGAAGCCAAATGGGCCTGGAGTCTTCTTTGAGGCAAACAATTTTTATTTAAGGATTACATTTCTCTTATTTTCTTTTTTTTTTTGAGTTGGAGTCTTACTCTGTCGCCCAGATTGGAGTGCAGTGGCCACTCTTGGCCTCTACAGCCTCGACCTACTGGACTCCGGCGATCCTTCCGCCTCAGCCTTCCAAGTAGCTGGAACTACAGGCATGCGCTACCACGCCCGGCTAATTTTTGATTTATTGTAGAGATGAGGTCTTGCCAAGTTGCCCAGGCAGGCCTCGAACCCACGGGCTCAGGCAATCCACTCACCTCAGCATCCCAAAGCGCGGGATTACAGGCTGAGCCACCGAGCCCAGCTACATTTCTTTTCTTGTCTTTTTTTGAGTTGAAGTTTCATTCTGCCGCCCAGGCAGGAGTGCAGTGGCATGCTCACAGACACCGCAGCCTCAGCCTGTTGGGCTCAGGCCATCCTTATGCCTCAGCCTTCCAAGGATTACATTTCTTTAGTGGCACTCTTCAAGCTACCTATTTCTTCTTGCCTCCATTTTGCAAAATTATACTTTTTAAAGAATTTGTGTAGTTTGTCTAAAATTTCAGATTTTTTGGCATAAAGTTATTTAAAAAATCTACTATTTTCTCTTAATATTGGAAAGATAAGTAGTCATGTCCCTGTTTCCATCCCTGATATTGAAAGCTTGTATTTTTTTCCTATTTTCTCTATGGGCAGTCTCCCTCTTATTTATTGGTCTTTTCAAATGACTAATTTGACTTTGTTGATTTTTCCTCTTGTATTATTTTCTATTTTATTGACTTTGGGGGGGTCTTATCTTTATCATTTCCTTCTTTGAATTTTATTGTTTTCTTCTAGCTTCTGCAGATGGAAGTAACTTAATGTTGGTTTTTCTTTTTTAAGTAAATATATTTGAGACATATGGTCCACTCTTTGCATGGCTTAACTGCATCCTGTAAGTTTTGGCTGTTCATATTTTTATTATCATTCAGTTCAAGTTATTTTCTAACTTTAACTATAATTTTTTTTGGTTAATAGAAGATTTGTTAAAGCAAGAATACATATAGTCATTATTGCCAGACTTAATATGAGATGTTAAATGTGCGATCCAACTTCTCTTCTCGGATAAGTTTTTCTTTCTTATCCCTGGCAGTTTTGAAACCATAATACCAGAAGAAAAGGGGCCCAATTCCACACAGAGCTCCTAGGAGTGAGTTCTTGGTAGTGGGTCTGAAATTGGGATAGACATTTGCTGATCTTACATAGGTCCAACGAAGCAAGGCAGGATCTTCAATGAGCCCTCAGCGGTTAGGGTCCTTGTGCTGAAGCAGGTACTCTGGTTTAAGCCAGGATCTTATGAACTGCTGGGCATGCACCATCCAAGTTTCCAGAGATATGTCGTATTAGGCCGGATGGAGGGTCAAGGGCAGAGTGACCAGGCACGATGGAATATACTTGGGAAATGACATCTTGGAGCCCAGGCAACTATACTTTTTTAAAACTATGCTCTTTCTTTAATTTCAAAGCATTTGGGGTTTTTTTTTTTTTAGCTACCATTTTGTTAATAATTTTAGCTTAATTATGGTTGTCAGAGTACTTTATTCTATATGATTTCAATTTTTTGAAATTTATTGAGGGTTACTTTTTGACCCAGTTGTCCAAGTCTGGTTTTGGTCTCTGTTCTATGTTCACTTGAAAATAATGTTTATTCTGCAGTTTTGGTTACAGTTCTTGTATGTTCATCATTGGAATTTTATTCAACATATAGTTTCAATCTTCCTAATTCTTATTGTGTATTTTTCTGCTTGTTATTGAGATAAATGTGTTCATATTTGTAACTTTTTTTTTTTTTAGTTGGTGTCTCACTCCCTTGCCCAGGCTCTGCATTCGCTCACAGCCACCCCAGCGTCGAGCTGCTGGTCTCAAGGTGATCCTTCTGCCTCAGCTTTTCCAAGTAGCCAGAACTACAGGCGCACTACCACGCCTGACTAATTATTTGATTTATTGTAGAGATGAGGCCTTGGCAAGTTGCCCAGGTTGATTTCAAACCCGTGGGCTCGGCCTCCCAAAGTGTTGGGATTATAGGCTTGAACCACCGTGCCCGGCCTATATTTGTAACTATTAGTGAGGACTTTTTAATTTCTTATTTAACTTTTGTCAGATTTTGCTTAATATATTTTAAGACTATGTTGTTCACTGCATACACATTTAGAATGACTTTATCTAGTTGTTTGTTAACACCTTTATTATTATAAAATGACTATGAAATTTATCATCATGAAAAGACAAATCACTCTTGTGGTATTGCTTATTAAATCTGACATTAGTATAACTAAACTAGCTTTCCTTTTGTTAGTGTTTGCATAGTATATTTTTTCCTGTTCTTTCACTTTCAACCTTTTAAGCCCTTATTTTTAAGAAATGTGTCTTAAAAGAAACATAACCAGGTTTTGATTTTTAGGATCTGTTCAATTGGCTTTTGTTTTATAATTGGAGCAATTAGGCTTGGCATATTTTAGTGATTTTACTGATATATTTAGTTTAAACTTACCATCTCAGTCAAGGTTTCTATTTTTCCACCCTAATCTATGTTCCTTCTTCTGTTTTTTTGTCTTCTGTTACATTAAATTTAAAAATACTTTTCTTCCTATACTAGCTTGTTAGCAATATTTTATTATTCTTTCAGTGGTTACCATAGAGATTGTAATATATATTTTCGAGCAGAGTCAACTTCAAATTATTATTTTCAATACTTCTTTGACAATATTAAGATTTTGCAACACTTTAAATCTACTACTCTTCTTTCCTTTTGTAATACTACTGTCATAAATTTTAATTCGACATATATATACATATATATATATATATATTTTTTTTTTTTTGAGTTGTAGTATCACTCTGTTACTCTGACTGGAGTACAGTGGTCACTCCTGGCCACTGCAGCCTCGACCTGCTGGACTCTGGCAATCCTTCCAACACAGCCTTCCAAGTAGCTGGAACTACAGGTGTGCGCTACCATGTCCAGCTAATTTTTTAAAATTTTATTGTAGAGATAAGGTCTCGCCAAGTTGCCCAGGCAGGTCTCGAACCCGTGAGCTCAGGCAATCCGCTCACCTCAGCCTCCCAAAGCACTGGGATTACAAGCTGAGCCACCGAGCCCGACTGACATATATTTTTAAAACTAGAAACATTATGACTGTTTCTTAAAAATCAAGATTTGCTTAGATTTACTCACACACTTACTCTCTCAGTGTTCTTTATTTTTCCTGCATGCCAGCAATTCCAATGTGGATGGTTTTCCTTCTGCCTGAAGAACTCCCTTTGTATTTCTTTCAGTGTGAGCCACAGCAATTTTGCTTCATTCTTGTTTATTTTTAAAATGTCTTTATTTTGCCTTAGTTTTTGAAGGCTATTTTTGCTGACTAAAAAACTCTTAGCAGTTCTTTACTTACAGCACTTTAAAATTTTCTTTTAGGTTGGGTGCAGTGGCTCACGCCTGTAATCCCAGCATTTTTTGAGAGGTGGAGGCAAGAGGATTGCCTGAGCCTGGGGGTTTGAGATCAACTTGGGCAACTTGGTGAGATCTCACCTCTACAATAATAACAGCAACAACAACAACAAAATAGCCGAGCATGGGTGCATGCCTGTAGTTCCTTCTGGCTAGTTTGAAGGCTGAAGCAGAAGGATCACCTGAGCCCAGCAGGTTGAAGCTGTGGTGGCCATGAGCATACCACTGCACTCCAACCTAGATGACAGAGTGAGACTCTGACTCAATAAATAAATAAATGAATAAATAAATGCTTTAAAAAATGTTCTTTCATTATTTTCTGGCTTTTATTGTTTTTATTGAAAATTCAGATTTCATTCTTATTAATACTTCTTTGAAAGAAAGGCATATCACCTTCATTTTATAAACAAATACACTAGGAAAAAAACTTTAAGGCCAAAGAGCATGTCAAAGGTTATGTTGCCAATAATGTCAGGTCAGAGAAAATATTTTCAGATTTTTTTTCTGATTAACTTGCTAAATACAATGAAAAACATTGTCACACAAGAAATGAGAAGTGTTCACCAAGCAACATCCACCACCTCCTTAGCTAATTTTTTTCACTTTTTAATTAATCTATACCAAATATTTTATATTTTAAACTACTGTATGCTGTAGCATTGATTACCTTTATATGTAGTTTTGTAGAGCACCTTCACTTCTATAACAGCCCTGAGAACATTTGATAAATTAATTCAGAAAGAAATAGATATACTTTAACTACTCGAGCAGGCAAGGAAAATTGGGAATGAAAACTGAACTTAGCTAAACTTAGTCAAAATTAGATAGAATCATATCTTATTATATTGTTGTTAAATAAGATAAAATCAAAACCTAAAAATACATCTCTGCTTATTAATTGTAAGAACTTTAGTTTTTTTTTCCCAATTAGTAATCTTAATCAAGTCCCAAGAGAAAGTTGTTTAAAATAGGAATATAGTTCCATTGTCTCTTGTAGGAAGGAAGCATTAACTATATTTTGCAAAATGCTATTCAGAGAAACTGGAAGAATAAACAACCATGCTTTGTTGCTTCAGGTTGAGACAGTTAAAGGAAAGGAATAATAAATACTTACACTGCTATGGTTATAAGAAGCATATAACTTGACTTGAAGATCAAAAGGCCAGCATAGCACACCCAAATATTAGTTGTGAAATGCATGAGGAACAGAGACCCTGCATTTGCTGCTGAGAAGATCCCCAAAGCCAACTCTCCTAGGAGATCCCAGTTGACTTTCACGTAGCCCACTGTGAAGGCTGCCATGGCCCCTGAAAAGAAAAGAAGCAATGTGTATTACATCTTGTTAATCCATCTGTAGTAAATAGCACACAATTTTGTTAAAATTCACATTACAGGCCGGGAGCGGTAGCTTATGCCTATAATCCTAACACTTTGGGAGGCCAAGGTGAGAGGACTGCCTGAGCCCATGGGTTCAAGACCAGCCTGGGCAACTTTGTGAGACCTCATCTCTACAATAAATCAAAAAATTAGCCAGGCGTGGTGGCACTTGCCTGTAATTCTAGCTACTTGGAAGGCTGAGGCAGAAGGATCACCTGAGCCCAGCAGGTCAAGGCTGCAGTGGCTGTGAGCATGCCACTGCACTACTGCCTGGGAGACAGAGTGTGACTAACTCAAAAAAAACCCCAAAATCCACATTGCAGAAACACTGAAGCATTTCCAGGTTGTCGTTAAAAAAAGTTCTGACTTGTTACAAACTTTGAATGAAAAAAGTCATTTGATCCAGCTGTACATATCTTTTTCTCTTACAGTTTGAAATAGGCCAACTGAGTTTGGGTTTCCATAAATCACAGACTGAGAAGAACCCACAGAAAGCCATCTTTTCTTTCTTCTTCCCTTTGCAGATGATAAAACTCAGGCTTAGAAACACGATGTCAAATAAAAACAAATCCGGACTTAGATAGGAAAAGTTTTATTTAGAAGAAAGACTATTGTAATAGAAAGAACACTCTGGTCACAGAAATCTGCAAATATCTCAAAATCAAACAGAAAGAAGGCTTTCTTTTATAGGGTAAAGAGGGACAAGCAGAGATAAGCAGAATCTTTGCAGAGGAAGCTGGACTAGCAAGGGGAAATTGTCGGGTGGGGTTTGATAGGAAAGTGTCCCACTGTGGTCAGCCAGTTCCCAGTTGGAACTGATAAGGGGGGCACATTTCACTTTTTTTGTTCTTGCTCAGGGTTGGGGGCAGGCAGGGCTTAGGGGTCTGTAGAAAAGAGGGAAACCTGACTAAAGTGGTCAAGATAAAGCAGAGGGTGAAAAATGGGAAACTGTGAACCCTTGGTCATTGGAGTGAAGTAGCCAAGGTCTTTGGCCTAAAGTTTCCTAATTTGTGGTGTCTGCTCTTTCCTACCATGCCCTTTCTGTGTGCCCTATGATGGATGCTCTAGCAAGGATGGCCTCTCTCTTTTTGCCGTTATCTCTGTTTTCTCTTCCCTCTCTGTAACATCATTTTGAAAAATCTCAATACTTTCAGGTCAGTGAATAATAATTTAAAAATTTCCAGACTGGGCACAGTGACTCAAGCCTCTAATCCCAGCACTTTGGGAGGCCAAGGTGAGAGGATTGCCTGAGACCAGAGGTTTGAGACCAGGCTGGGCAACTTGGTGAGACCTTGTCTCTACAGTAAATCAAAAAACTAGCCGGGTGTAGTGGCACATGCCTGTGGTTCCAGCTACTTGGAAGGCTGAGGCGGAAAGATCGCCTGAGCCCAGCAGGTAGAGGTCGTGGTGGCCATGAGCATGCCACTGCACTCCAGCCTAGGTGACGGTGAGACTCTAACACAAGAAAAAGAATTTTCCTCAAGATCTCTGACAGATACCAAATTTCTTTTCAAAAATTATCTCTGCATTCTTCTGTCTCATTTGTTTATTTGATCATACCTTTCTTTGTTCATTAATTCAACTACCAAGCATTTTTGAACTTCTCTTTGGGACAAAATGGTAGCAAACTTTGCTTTGAAAACAGTAGAGCTTAGTGTGGAAATTAGTTAAATAAGTTAATAGTTTTAATACAATGTGATAAGGATTCTAACCCAAATCTAACCTTAACTCTAACCTAGTGGTTCTCAAACAGGGATGTTTTTGACTTCTAGGGGTTAGATAGTAATATTTGAAGATATTTTTTGTTGTCATGACTGGGTCATCCCGGCATCCTGTGGTCTAGAGGTTAATGATGTTGCTGAACATCCTATAAAGTACAGGACAGCCCCCCACCACAAATAATTACCCAGCTCAAATGTCAGTAGTGCTGAGGATGAGAAACACTGATTCAAACTCTGACCTGATTGACCAAGTGTTTGGAGTTTTCATAACGGGAAACGAGAAGAATATGAGCTCAACAATGGGTCCTGACATGTTCAATAAACAGGTGGGTGTGGAACAACCTGACCTTAAGATAAATATCTTCAAAGTCTCATTTGATGTGAAAGCTTTGTTTTGTCAGGAAAATACATGTGCATTGTCAGGCTAACTTCAAAGACGGCTCTGGCATCTGTCCTTACCTTAGAATATTAACGCCTGCATCAGCCCACCTCTCCCTCCTTGCGCCTCACTCCCTTTGGAAGAGTGTTTGAAATTTCACAAAATGCATTCTGGGAAAGAGGAAGAGTGAAGGGACAAATATCTAAAACTCCTCACATTCCTGTAGCTTCTAAGGCAAGAGGGAATTTTGCCCAAGAAGAAGGCCCAGGAGGAAGGTTGAAGGGTGAATCCAGTAGTTGGAGCTGGAATCCCACAATCCCCCAGAGAACCCAAGCTCCTCTAGATCACCCAGTCTTCCTTCCTTTTTCCTGTCCGACAACACATAATATCAGAAGAATGAAGCACACACTTATCAGACAACTCAAGGGAAAGCAATGAACCCTCAGGTGCGTACACACCCACCAGAAGGGGCTGGCCTTGTCCACCTCCTCACACCTCGCCTATCCCATAAGGCTCTTTGTCTTCTACTACCATTACCAACATAATCAAGGATTGCTACAAATTAAGCGGCATGGTTTTTACTAATGATAGTGGAATGAAAGTATAACATATGTGAAAGGCCAAACAGACAGTTATACAGGATAGTACAACTGGGTTATGGAGAGGAGATAGTTTTAAGAGTCCATTCTGGAGTTAACTGTTGTTCTGGGCAGGCATGGTGGCTCACACCTGAAATCTCAGTACCTTGGAAACAGAAGAAAGAGGATTACCTGAGCCAGAGTGTTCGAGACTAGCCTGGGCAACTTGGCAAGACCTTGTCTCCAGAATAAGTAAAAAAATCACTCAGGTGTGGTGGTGTGTGCCTGTAGTTCCAAGCTACTTGGAAGACTGAAGTGAAAGGGTAGCCTGAGCCCAGCAGGTCGAGGCTGCGTTGGCTGTGAGCATGCTACTGCACTGTAGACTGGGTGGCAGAGTGAGACTCTAATTCAAACAACAACAACAACAAAACTATTGTTCTGGATATGGTATCAGGATATAGTAAAAATAGGGACGCTGAGTGTAGAGAATAGTCTTAAATGAGAAGCAACAAGCTTTGGCAAATTCCCATATATAGAATTAAGGAAAGAGGCAAATATAGGTATTATGTGTCTTGATTGGGAACCCTAAAATGATAGAGTAGCCCCCAAAACAGTACCTTTCAAACCTATTTGAGGCTGGGCATGGTGGCTCATGCCCATAATCCCAGCACTTTGGGAGGCAGAGGCAAGAAGATTGCCTGAGCCCAGGGGTTCAAGACCAGCCTGGGCAACTTGGTAAGACCTCGTTTCTACAATAAATCAAAAAATTAGATGGGCATGGTGGCGCGTGCCTGTGGTTCCAGCTATTTGGAAGGCTGAGGTAGAAGAATCGCCTGAACCTAGGTAGTTGAGGTTGTGGTGGCTGTGAGTGTGCCACTGCATTCCAGCCTGGGCAACAGAGCAAGACTATGGCTCATAAAAACAAACAAAACAAAATAAAACAAAAATACAAAAAACAAACTTATTGACCATAAACTGAAGAAAAAAATATTATATATTGTAATTAGTCTATATATGTGCATGAATAGATTTTTTTTGCAAGACAAAATGTATCCTTAAACACCAACATGCTCCCTATTGTGTTCTGTTCTATTCTATCTTACCCTATCCTATTCTTTGATTTAAAAATGCTGGTCAGCAACCCACTAAATTGAGTTCAAAGTCTATAATATATAAAGGATCAGATAGTAAATATTTTAGGCTTGTGGGTCACATATCCTTCTTTGTTTTTGTTTATTTTTTTAAGATAACCCTTGTCATATATTCTTTTTTTTCTACAACCCCTTTAAAATGTAAAGTTATTAGTGGTTGTGGCCTATGGCTCATAGTGTGTCCACCTTGTATCAACGGTTGTCACAGTTTAAAGACTTGAGTTATTAAAATTTTAGAGAGAGAAAAGAGTTTTGAGAATTCAAGCTTAAACCATCTAACTCTCCATGGCCACACTATATTTTGCCAGCAGGCACTAGTTTGTAGTCTCCTAAAACTACGGATGAGTGAAACTTTCTTTTCCATGTATATTTATGTCAACCTTTTATTATATTAGTTACTTCCTTTAAATTGTGTGACATAACTCTTTTTTTTTTTTCACTACTTGGTATTCAGTTTTGAAATCACCACAAAGGGATTATCCAAGAATACAATTTGAAATTTATATTAATTTATTTTGTGTTCAGGAAATAAAATAATAAAAACAACTGTTTTTTTTTTAAACCAAAGATACTACAATATACAAATACTTCTGGATTCATGTTCCCTTTTGAACCTAAAAGCAATCTTGTGAAATAAGCTAGTAGGTATTGTTCTGGCCTTTTAGGAGAAGTGAACTGCTGGAGTCTTGCTTGATTTGTCCACTTGGTAAATAATAGAACATGGATAAAAAAATTGAGCCCAATGTTTTTCCACTTATTCATTCAGTCTCTTCTTTATAAACAGCAAAACTGTCACTTTAAATAAGTATTTTAGGCTGAGTATGGTGGCTCACACCTGTAATTCCAGCACTTTGGGAGGGCAACACAGGAGGACTACTTGAGCCCAGGAGTTCAAGACCAGCCTGAACAATATAGCAAGACCTCATCTCTAACAACAACAACAACAACAACAACAATTAGCTAAGCATGGTGGTGTGTGTATGTAGTCCCAGTTATTTGGGAGACTGAGATGGAAAGATCACCTGAGCCAAGGAGGTCAAGGTTGCGGCGATCTGTGATCATGCCACTGCACTCCAGGCTGGGTGACAGAGTGAGAACCTGGCTCAAAAATAAATAAATAGGGCAGGCACAATGGTTCATGCCTGTAATCCCAGCACTTTGGGAGGTGGAGGTGAGAGGATTGCCTGAGCCCAGGGGTTCAAGACCAGCCTGGGCAACTTGGCAAGACCTCATCTCTACAATAAATAAAACAAATTAGCCGAGAGTGGTGGTGCATGTCTGTGGTTCCAGCCACTTGGAAGGCAGAGACAGAAGGATCGCCTGAGCCCAGGAGGTTGAGGCTGTGGTGAGTTGTGATTGTGCCACTGCAATCCAGCCGGGGTGACAGAGTGAGACACTGACTCAAATAAAATAAATAAATATAAATTAAATAATACATTAATAAGTAAATAAACTTGTATTACATACTTGTCCTAGCTTATGTCCTATAATACCAGTTCTTACTATCTTACACTTTTCAAGGCTCCTATGGCACTGAAATGGACAGATTAGCATTACTTCCAAACAAGCCTAAGATACCAATAGAGTATCTTGTCTATATAAAGCACATGTTTTCGGCACATTGACTAGATAAAGTTTTGTATACTTACCCCCAAAGGTTGCAAGGGCTTCCACTGCTCCATTATATATTGTAGAACTTTGAGATGGTGCCTTGTAATCCCACAGGATTTGAACATAGTTTAAAACCTGGTTAAAACCTGCTGTGGAAAAAGCCCACCACAGGGACCAGTAAAAAAGATGCTTTGAGGAGTAGCACTCCTTCAGATCTTGGAACCACTGTGCAAAAACTTTGGAAGCCACATTGCTTGGCTTTGGGCTGTTTAACTGGCAGGCATCCAGGTTTTCTGAAATGGGGAGTAATTCTTTGTGGACTGTTTTATGATCCTTGTGAGGTTCCTCTATGACAGCAACCTCTCCTGGTGACTTTTGAGGAACGTCTTTGTTGGGTTTTGCATGAAAAAACATGCTCTTCTTAGGCATTGGCAGAAAAAGTGAGAAAAGGAAGGCCATGGAGACAGAGGCCAAGGATATGACGTTGAGGTAAAAGTATGACAGGTTCACCAGGGATACCAAGAGTTGGGCCAACACAGAGGCCACAGTGTAGGCCACCAGCGTGATACTCCTACAGTAGCCACTCACTCTCTGATAGTGCTCTGGGCTGACCACACTGTATATGTAAGCATAGTAGGCCACCTCAGTGGCAGACACCAAACCGTAGAAGAATTCCAGCACCTGCATGGTTCTTAATCCTTGACCAAATACAAGCAGCAGCCAGGTAATGATGAAGCTAATCCCTTGTAAGATGATGACTGGCTTGTAACGGACATAATCAGTGAGGACAAACACAGGGAGCAGCAGCACCAGGTAAGAATAGGTCCAAATGGGTAAGATGTCTTTTGTGATCTGTGAGACGAAGGGAGAAGAGGGTGAGGACAAAAACACCAGGAAGTGAAAGGTATGTGGGTCTCTGACTCATGCATTCTTGGGATGGCATGTATAAACCCGGGAGACATTGCTTGGTCTATGCCGAATTGGGTCTAATTTCATGCTTTCCATGAATTTCTGACAATATGTTGGAAAGCATTGTGAAACTGAAATTCAAGGCAACAAATTGCAAGAGTGGTTACTATTCATAATGTGTGAATTTATACCTTCCAGTGTAAAGGACAGAGCAGCTATTGCTCTTTGAGTTATCTTTTCTTTTTGAGTTGGGTCTCATTCTGTTGCCCAGGCTGGAGGGACACGTTCATGGCTCACCACAGCCTTGATCTCCTGGGCTCAGGTGATTATTACATTAATTAAATTAATAAATTAATTAATGTATTTTTTAAAAGTTTAAGAAGCTGTTGCATAAGCTGTTGAGACTGGGAAAAGAGGCCATGATGCATAAATTTATCTTTTTATTCTTGAGAGCACTTCCAATCTTATGAGCACAAAACAAAATAGTTTGCTCTTCTTCAAAGTTAGAATCAAAAGGTTAAAACGTATCTTTCAAGCACTGTGCAGTGGCTCATGCCTGAAATCCCAGCACTTTGGGAGGCAGAGGAGAGAGGACTGTCTAAGCTCAAGAGTTCAAGATAAGCCTGGACAAGTTGGTGAGACTTCATCTCTACAATAATTCAAAAAAATTAACTGGGCATGGTGGCACACACCTGTAGTTCTAGCTACTTTGGAAAGCTGAGGCAGAAGGATCACCAGAGCCCAGCAGGTCAAGGCTGTAGTGGCCGTGAGTGTGCCTCTGCACTCTAGCCTAGGTGACAAAAAAAAAAAAGTAACTTTCAGTACTGGAAGAATCTAACCATCTTGACCTTTATATGCAGCAGTATGTTGTGAATGACCAGACCAATGAGATACCATCTGGAAGCAGGACTGGCAGTAGTGGGAATCTGCCTGGGGAAGGGGGAACACACCTCATCAACAAGGGTATCTGCATAATGAACATTTGTATACCTAACCCTGAATTGTACCCCACATCTTTTAAATAAATAAATAAGATACCATCTGGGTGATAAGGAAAATATAGAACAATTGTCCAGTCTGAGAGTGAATGTCAGAAGAAGTAATGCACTTGAATCTACAGCTCATTCCTGTTCTTGGCTTCACTTTGTTGGGCTGCTCTGGAAGAGTCATGAGAAACTAGTTGGTAGTAGCTCTCTTGTTCAAGATATTTCAGCCACAATTTCTCATGACACCAGTTGCTTTAGCCAATTATCTGAGCCCATCAGTAGTAAGTGATTATTTCTGTTTCTGTAAGGGATTGTATAGTGGATAAAGGATTACATAAAGGAGGTGGGGGTAGACTCTTTCAAATCCTTGTTCTCTCTGAATTTTCAGACAACTGAAATAAACCCACTGAGCCTGAGAAGGTCCTTTGTTTTGACCTCATCTGTGCTCTCACTCCTTGAGTTCCCAGGTAGACCATTACACTAGTGTTCGTGAAGTTTGGTAGAACTTTATGCTTGCCCTTTTTGGCTTTTGGGTGTAGACACTAACATGGGATAAGTTGTATTTCAGATCTGCTTTCTGTGACAGTCTCAAGTGCTTGAATCCACTCTAGTGATACCTTCCAGTTAAATGAGTTTGCAGTTAATGGCATTCAAAATTGGCATACTGACTGGGCACGGTGGCTAATGCCTGTAATCCTAGCACTTTGTGAGGTCGAGGTGGGAGGATTGCTTAAACCCAGGAGTTTGAGACCAGCCTGGGCAACATAGCAAGACCTCATCTCTACAAAAAAAAAAAAAAAAAAATTAACTGGGCATGGTGACATGTGCCTGGAGGTTGAGGCTGTGGTGAGTCATGAACATGTTACTTCAGCCTGTGCAACAGAATGAGACCTGACTCAAAAAGAAAAAAAAAAAAAAAGATTGCCATACACTCATGTTTATTGTGAGGAAAAATCGTGAATTGGTTTAAGGAGGAAAGTTTCCTTGGTGTCAGGTGGGAAAATGTGGATGGCAGCTAGGAAAGAGATCAAACAAGATCAAATGGTTATACCACATTGGCTGAGTAACCAACCTGTGAAAGTGAGGTTACTGATTATTTTTTTCCTTGAAGAAAATGAACTGATAACAGTTCCTTGTCTGATCTTGGTATTGCTTAATGGCTTAAAGCAATGGTTCTTAAACTTTAGCATATATCAGATTTGCCTGGAGGGTTTGTTAAAAAAAACAAAACAGACTTTCAGAGTCATTGGTCTGGGGTGGTGTCTGAGAATTTACATTAATAACAAATTCTCAGATGATGTTGATGCGTTGGTCCAGGGATTTCACATTGAAAAGTACTGATTTAGAGGCTTCTTAGGACTAGATTCTATGACTGAAATAAGAGTTTAAAAACTGCCTTACTATTTATAAATAAAGAGGGGTGAATCTTCAGAAGGTTTTTCACATTTTTTTTTTTTTTTGAGTTTGAGTCTCACTCTGTCGCCCAGGCTGGAGTACAGTGGCACGCTCACGGCCACCGCAGCTCTGACCTGCTAAGCTTAGGCAATCCTTCCACCTCATTCTTCCAAGTAGCTGGAACTACAGATGCACACCATCATGCCTGGCTAAATTTTTTGTGATTTATTGTAGAGCCGAGGTCTCACCAAGTTGCCCAGTCTGGTCTTGAATACCCAGCATCCTCTCGCCTCAGTCTCCCAAAGTGCTGAGATTACAAGCTGACCTACCCTGCCCAGCCCACATGTTTTTTTAGCATCTTTATCCCTTCCCTGCCATCCCCTGCAAATCTCATATTATCGTTTAAGACTTACACTCTTTTTTTAAGATTATAAAATATAGTTTATTTAGAAAGTAATTTAGAGAGAAAGAAAGAGCGGATTCACCTCCCTAAGGTAGGGGAGGGGACCAAAGCTAGAAGCATGGCAACAGTCATAGCTCAAAGAGCACATGGCCACACCAGAGTCTAGTAAGGCAATGGCTAAGACTTATACTCTTAAGTGGGAATAGGCTGGGCACAGTGGTTCACATCTATAATCCTAACACTTTGGGAGGTGGATATGAGAGGATTGCCTGAGCTCAGGGTTTTGAGACCAGCCTGAGCAACATGGCAAGACCTCATCTCTACAATAAATCAAAAAATTAGCCAGGTGTGGTAGCGCACGCCTGTAGTTCCAGTTACTAGGAAAACTGATGCGGAAGGATCACCTGAGCCCAGCAGGTCGAGGTTGTGGTGGCTGTGAGCATGCCACTGTACTCCAGCCTGGGTGACAGAGTGAGACTCTGACTCAAAAAAAAAATGGGGATAATTTTATTTTTATGTTAATGATAATATGCAATGAAATTCTGGAGTATTGTTTTTGTACAACTGAAAGATTAAGTAAGGTTGTTTTGCACCCACCCTATTTTTGTTGTAGTTAAAGAGTTTTTGTTTTTTACATGACAAATACATACAAATCATTAAGACCTATTTGTTCACATTAGAGATTGTAAGAAGTGTTAATATTTTGCACCTGCCCAAGGCCTTAGACATAGTTCTAGTTAGAGTTGAATCTAAGAGAAGCATGTTAGTTAACTTACCATGCTGAGGCTCATATTTTTATCTGGTCCTGCCAAATAAGGTATGACAAATGGCTCCGATGGTTTCATCATTGAGAAAAATCCAAATAAGCAGAGAATTATGGTGGGAAAAACCCAGGAGTGGCTTGATGAAGTTTGACAACAGTTCATGGTTGATTAAACTGTCACAGGAAAAACAAAAAAACAAAAAAAGCAAGTAAAATGATTGATTAACAATCCAGTTGATTTTTTCCCCCCTGTAAAACATGCGTTCTTTCCCCCAGGCCCTTTTTGTCCTTCAGTCTTAAGAATGAAAAAAAAAAAAAAAATCATGGTGACAGTAAAAGTATGTCACAGGTCAAAACAGAGGAAGCTGAGTCTTTGCTTTTGGGTTTCTTGATTAAAGAGAAGATTAATAATTATTTGAAAACAGTAGCCGGGCTCGGTGGCTCAGCCTGTAATCCCGCACTTTTGGGAGGCTGAGGTGAGTGGATTGCCTGAGCCCGCGGGTTCGAGACCCGCCTGGGCAGCAAGACCTCATCTCTACAATAAATAAAAAAATCAGCCGGGCGTGGTGGCGCATGCCTGTAAATCTGGCTACTTGGAAGGCTGAGGCGGAAGTATCGCCAGAGCCCAGCAGGTTGAGGCTGGCGG